GATGGCACAGCAGGAAGAGGATAAGTACTGTTGCGGGCAGCCACCGCCTAGGCCTCCAGCGTGCTGAAGAGCGCCTGGAGGTGCTTGCTCGCCGACTCATCCCCCTTCTGGGCACGAAGCCAGGCGCTGAACTCCTCCGAGGCCGCGCCCATCTGCTGCTCCTCCATCTTGAGGACAGGCCCATGAGAGCATGCCACCGATCTGGCGAAGCTCTCCTTGGCCTTCTGCGACCTGGCGCTGCGCCTCCTCCGAGGCCTGCTGGGCGGTACAGAGCCGCTCGTTGAGCAGCTTGCGCGCCTCCTCCACTTCTTGCTTGACGGTGCCAAGCTTGGTCTCCAACGAGTTGGCGCTTCACGCGCCCGAGCCAGCCTCGTCGTGATGCTGTGTTGCTGGGTGTAGAGAGGCTTCGCATCATTGATGGCCTTCTGCATCTTTGCCGCCTTCCCCTCAGCCAGGAGCCTGTCCTCCTGGTGGGCCGCGACACGCGCAGCCTTCTGCCAATAGGCAAGGCGTTCCTTGGCCTCCTTCTGGTCGTTGTTGGGGGACGAGGCCGACTCCGTGTCATTACGCCAGGGCGGCGGCGAGGGAGAGGCGGCAGACGCAGGCTTCTCCAGGCCATCAGGGCGGCTGAGGATCTTCTTGGGCGTCGAGTCGAGCGCAGGCGGCGCGCCTGAGCCCCATTGTCCTTTGAGCACCTTGCAACCGCTGGCGCCTGACGAGACTATCTTTTCATGCGCTGTTGTTTGCCGCTTTCTGCACTGATTGAGGGGCAGCCGCACCACATGCGCATGTGATCCTCGACGCCAAGTTGCCTGAGCGATGGCACTTGGTGCGTGCCGACAACGGTTTCTTCAGCCCCAAGAGATCATCCTTAGAACTCATGAGCACAATGTAGATAACGTGCTTGCTCCCTCAGGAGCTCACCGAGACGCATCGTGGGCGAGGCCGTGGCGCCTGCCTACCACAATGCATAAGCTGTCCTGGCCAGCTGCCTTGACAAAATAGCTATTTGAGCCAAAATGGTTTGAGCCAAAATGGCTACGGCCCTCGTCCTCCCTCCTCCCTCCTGCCTCCCGTCCTCCCCCGTCCCTCCTCCCTGTTCCCTGCTCCCTCCTCCCTTATCACTCATATTTCCTCCCTCATCCCGCCTCCCTCTTACCTCTTACCTCTTCCCTCCTCCCCCTCCTCCCTCTCCTTCTCCTCCTCCTCCTCCTATTCCTGTTCCTCCTCGTCCTCCTCCTCTTCCTCCTCCTCCTTCCTGTTTCCCATCCTCCCTCCTCCCTCCTCCCTGCTCCGTCTTCATCTCCCATTCCCCCTCCTCCTCCTCCTCACATCCTCCTCCTCCTCCTCCCTCCTCCTCCTCCTTCTCCTCCTTCTCCTCCTTCAGTGTGGTTTCCTCCTCCTCCTCTTCCTCCTACATTTCTCTCCGCGTCGGGCCGATCGCAATCGCTTCGGGTCGACCGTCGAACATGCCGGACTGATCACAAGTGGTTTTGATCGGGCCGCGATGCTTGCGACGTTGTGGGGAAGCTGCAACCTTGACATGCTGTAAAGAAAGCTATCAAGATCGCCCCCGGATGCAAGTGTATCCCTTAATTCCACAGCACAGCGAATTCTGGACAATAGCTGCGACCAGGCCGATCATCGACCACTCACTGCATCTATGCGTTGCAATCGATGTTATGCACTCTACGTTGTGTAACATAGTATGCGGTGGAATCTATGTGATGTGGTGCAGCTCGCCCTTTCGAGCTTGAAGTTGTCAGCCCCAGTGCGCACGTAATCATCCCACCCAGCCACCCGCAAATGGGTTTGCAAAACCCATGCGGCGGCGATCGCGGTGACTTCTCACTGGCTGGCGCATCGCTGCGGCCGCGCTAGCGCGCGCAGGCTCGCGCGCAGAGCGGCCAAATAGTTTGGGGAAACCGACGCGGCCGCGGTGGCGCTGACCGCTAGGAACTCCCAACGTGTCTCGCAGGCCGCGCTGACGCGCGAGCACTTCCGTGCGAGTCCGTGACTTGGGCGGGCGCGATACCATGGCGATGTAGACAACGGCAGACACGGTGATGTGTGTAGCGATGCTGCTGCCGACGAGAATGATGATGATGATGATGATGATGATGATGATGATGATGATGATGATGATGATGCTGCTGCTGATGATGATGATAATCATAATTATGATGATGATGATGATGATGATGATGATGATGATGATGATGATGATGATGATGATGATGATGATGATGATGATGATGATGATGATGATGATGGTGTCCACGTATCGGCGATGGAGGTTGTCGAAAGATTCCGACATGCGCGCGCGGCCCATGCGCGCGAATGTGGCCCCCCCCCAGCACGCACGCAAGGGCGTTCGAATGATGTCGACATGCGCGCGCGAGAGGCCCATTGGATCGCATGTGATGAACATGCTGGGGAAACATATGGCTTCCGTTAGAATTCGCAAGAGCGCGCGCGCAGACCTGATTTCTGACAACTGATGTTGCAAAGCCATGGTTTCTTATGTTTCGGGGCAATTCAGTATACCTCCTTTCAAAGCGAGGTTTGTTGAAGGATGTTGGCATGCGCTCGCGACGACGCGCTCGTTTGCACTTCGTTCTTTTGGTGTGGAAACAATTTTTCTTGATAATGAATGACTCGGAGAAGAAAGTGTGCGCGCATAGTCCGATTCGCAAGAAGGATGGTGGGGGTGGGGTTCGATACCCGTTTGGTTGGAATGGTGCGAACTCAATTTGAGAATGAACGGCAGGGCAAACTCATAGGTAAACTGCACATCCCAAGGGGGACGATAATTCCGGGGGGGGGATTTCAATTCCGTCTTCGAAAGGAGAGTCTAATGGCGGCCCAATTTTTTTAGAACAGAGGTCAGAGCCCCTAAGTACAAGCACTGCTTGTGGAATGCCCCAAAATACCTTTGATAGCCCAAGAATCTCTTTGTCACGCACGTGGCCACCGGGCGCTGGGCATGCGCGCATCTGTGTCCCATGCCGCCGTGGACAGCCCAGGGTCTCTGCGCTCCACTCTGGTTGTAGTCCTGCGTTCGCCTTGTAGGATTGCTGCAGGAATCCTACACGTTTGGGTCAGTCCGGTTCCAGTGATTGCAATCAGTACCAAGTGGTTCGCGAACGACTCGATGTGCGCGGATCTGCCTGAATATCCTCCCCCTCCTCCGCTTCCCTGACCTTCTAGAATGATAAACGATAAGCCTCAGACCTGTTCACCCATCAGGGCTGACGACAACCTCGGCTGCTGACAGCGTGGGGGCGGGGTGGGATCGACCACCTCCGCGCTCCAGGGTCAGACAGCATCGAATTGGGAATTGAATCGAATCGGGGCGGACGTCAGATCGGTCCGCATCGGCACGAAATCGGAATCGGACCAGGTTGGCTGCGTGAGGATGCACGACAAAGCCATGCAAACATCGGGCAGCAACGCCGCAACGCATCGTCGGAATATCGGAATCGAATCGGATCGAGCAGGCCGCAGGCGATATCGAATCGGATCGATCGGATCGAAGTGGACCCTGCCGTCCCCACGCCAACGTCTCATCCTCAGGGCCTCCTCGCGCCGGGGTCTCTTGGAGGTGACCGTCGGTTCTTGGATGTTTTCCCGTCCTGGGGACGCGTTCCAGCAGCTGCGCCTCGCCGAGGGCGTTCTGCAGGTGCCCGGTGCCCGGCTCGTCCCGAACGGCCGCCCGAAGCCCGAGTTATGATCCGAACGCCAGACCTTCTCGCCTCACAGAACAGGGCATGACGGAAGGCTTTAGGCAACTTCAGGCCTCAAGGAATTGCTGCCCGGCCCCTTGGGGCCGTCAGCGAGAGGTCTCGGGATGAAGAGACAATCCCGAGGAAGTGGTCGGGTCCTCTTGGGGTCTACGTTTAGAAGAGACAGCTAACAAGCAGGAGGACTGGGTTGTGACAAAGAGGGGGGAGGAGGATCAGGAGGAAATACAAGGACCTAGCCCTTTCTCCGGATCCCGGTGCTCCTGCTCCACCTCCTTCAACTCCGTCTCCGTTTTTCCTGGTTTTCCGTTTTTTTTTTTTTTTTCTTTTTCTCCTCGTCTTCCTCCTCCCTGTCCCTCGTCCTGATCCTCCTGATGCTCGTCCCCCTCGTCGTCCTCGTCCTCGTCTCGACCCTACTCGCCCTCGTCCTCGTCCTCGTCGTCCCGCCTTTCGTGGTCCTCCTCTTCTTCCTCTTCCTCGTCCACTTCTTCCTCTTCCTCCTCCTCTTTTCCTCTTCCTCCTCCTCCTCCTTCTCATCTTCCTCATCCTCCTCTGTTTTTCTTTTCCTCCCTCGCCCTGATCCGAAAGGGGCTCACGACGGGAGAAGACGGATGATGGTGATGGCGCTGCTGCTGCTGCTGCTGATGATGATGATGATGCTGACGCTGATGCTGATGATGCTTATGGTGACGATGCTAATGATGCTGATGATGGTGATGATGATGATGATCATGATATTGATGATTCTGAAGTGATCATGACGATGCTGCTGATGATGATGATGATGATGATGATGATGATGATGATGATGCTGATGCTGATGCTGATAATGATGCTGATGATGATGATGATGATGATGATGATGATGATGATGATGCTTCTGACGATGGAGATGAGGAGGAGGAAGAGAGGAGGGAGAGGAGGAGGGGGAGGACGAGGAAGATGTGCAGCGCGACGGCGACGAAGGAGGGAGGAGAGAAGAGAAAGGGAGGGCGGGGGAAGGAGGGCAGAGGGGGGAGGATATGACGACGACGGGGGCGGAGGGAGCAGGAGGACGGCACAGCGGAGCGCGTTACCACCCCTGCCCTCCGTGGCCTCCGCTGCCAGCGGGGGCGGCGGGGGGCCTGCGGCACCTCCGTGGCGCTGGCGGGCTCGGGCGTCGCCCGCGCGCCGCCCTGGCCCCGCTGCGGCAGCTGCTGGACCTGCGTCTTCTTGTTTTGTCGGGGGTGGGATCCTCACTCCCCCCACCCTCCCTCCCTCCACCCCCCATCCCTTCATCCCCCCCTGCTCCCCCGATTGTTTCCGGTATCTCAAAATGGCGTTCCCGCTGCAGCGTGGGCCTCATTTTCGGATCGGCGCTTGGCTCCCGTCGTTAAGCGTGGCGCTCTCGCCCTAGCGCGGGCCATTTCTCTGGATCCGAGTCTAGCTTCATTGTGGTCCCTCCCTCATTTCCCCTCCTCCGCCTTCCACTGGTCCTCCTGTTCCTCCCGCTCCTTCCTCTCCAGTTCGTTCCGCTGCTGTTCGTATCGCCCCAGCGAGGGCCATTTGTCTGGCTTCATCGTGGCCGCCCCCCTGGTTGCCGCCTTCTCCTGATCCTCCTTGTCTTCCCTATCCTGCCGCTTTAGTTCCTGCTGCTGCTGTTCGTCCTCCTCCTCTTTCTCCCGCTCATCCTCCTGCTCACCCGCCATTTCCTCCTCCTCCTCCTCATAATCCTGTGCACGCAGCTCGCCTTTTTCCGACTGCGCATGCCACGAAGTGGTCTTTCTGTGGGAATCGCAGGTCGGCTATGACACGCTTCCGCTCTGTAGCGCCAAACCACATCCTGACGAGGACCTTCTGGCATCTGGACTCTGTCTCTGCCGACTGTGGCTTCCTGGCATCCGTCCCTGTGGAAACGGTGGAAAAGCGAACTTGCCCGCACCCCATCGATCTCCCGTAGACGGTCCCGTCCTCTGTGAGCACTCTGCAGAATTCCAAGGTGCCCGCCTGCTTCATGTGGTTCGCGCCAGTCGTCGAAGTAGTCGAGGTTCCCCGCGTAGACTATGTTCTCCCCACTCTGCAGGTTGTCGCCACAACCCTTTGTAGCTGATGAGGTTTTTGCACCACTGGTCGCCCCACTGCCCGCTGCCACTGCCAGCCCTTTGCCCCCCAGCCGCACCGACCCCGCACCTGCTGCCGGTTCTTCTCGTACGCGCTGGCCCACGGAGGAAACTGATGCCGCCTGGTCTCCAATCTGTCCTCTGCATTCAGCACCTGCCGGCTGTTATCGGAACCTGTCTGCCAGCAGGAGCCTGACGAGGTCGTGGTAGCTGTTGCGATCGCTTTCCTCCAGGTAGCTTTCGGACTCGTCGCTCTCGTCGCATTGGCTGTCAGCCTTGTCGCTGTCACCTCTGTTTGCTGTCACCGCCGCCTCGTCTCTCATGTGATGTTCCCCCTCTTCCCTCCTGCTCCTCATTATGTTCGCGTGTCCCAGCCGTCCGAATGCGTACGCAAGCCAGGCGACAGGCAAACCTGCAAAGGCCCGGTACAAATGGCGAGCACCACTGCCTGCTGCACCACTGCCAACTGCCTGTTGCAGCTGCATGCTGCCGCCGCCGCTGCCACTGCCTGCTCTCCACGCACCATTGCCTGCTGCACCCCTGCCAGCTGCCATTGCACCACTGTCCACTCTGCCTCTTCTGGCACCACTGCCCGCTGCCACTGCCAGGCCTTCTCGCGCCACTGCCTGCGGCCACTGACGGCGTTCGATAGTCTGGCGCCTCGCGAGCCTGCTCAGACGTCTCGAGGGGGTCAGACTTTTCTCGCACACGCTGGGCCACCCATATAACTGATAATGTATGGCATCCAGCACTTGCAGCAATTACTGCCGCTGCCGGTTTTTCTGTCGCAAGATGGTCCCCTCCTGTGGCTGACGGAGTCTGAAAACCAAATTTTGATCCACGAACTGCTGCCTCTGCCACCTCTTCTCTCACACTCCGGTCCATGCGCGCAGCTAATAATATCCGGTGTCAATGTATTGCACCTGCTAATCCTCCTCCTCCTCCTTCTCCTCCTCATCCTCCTCCTCCCCTGCTCTCTCCTACTCCTGTAAAAATGACGTACGGTGACCAATACCGTTCGCCGCTGCTGCCACTGCCGGCTCTTCTCGCACCGCACCGCTGTCTGCTGCCACTGCTGCGTTTTCGCGTGCAGGCTGTTGCCTGCGTGTATCTGGAGGCGTCTGGCATCCATCTTTTGTGCCACTGTGTGCTGCCACTGCCGCCTGCTCTCGCACGCGAGTGTCTAAGCGTGTAGCTGATGACGTCTGGTGACCATCTCTTGCGACTGCTCCTCCTCCTCCCCCTCCTTCTCTTGCGCCTGTAGCTGGTGACGTCCTGTGACCACTACCGCCTGCCGCTGCTACCACTGCTGCCACTACCCGCTCTTCTCGCTGTCTGCTGCCACTGCTGCGATTTCGCGTGCACGCTGCTTCCTGCATGTATCTGGAGGTGTCTGGTATCTATCTTGCTTGCCAGAATCCGCATGTTCTCGCACGGGAGGGTCCACACCTGTAGCTGATGACGTTTGGTACCCAGTTCTTGCACCAAGACTTGTTGTCACTCTCGGCTGTTCGCGCACATGCTGGCCCAGCGTGTGCCGTTTTCGCATGAATTGGCCTACGCATGTAGCTGATGGCTTCTGCTGTCCATCTCTTGCACCTGCACCCCCTCCTCCCCCTCCTTCTCCTACGCCTGTCGCTAAAGGCGTACGGTGACCACTGCCGTCTACTGTTGCTGCCACTGCCGGCTCTTCTCGCACTGCACCGCTGTCTGCGGCCACTGCTGCGTTTCCGCGTGCACGTGTTTTCTTGTTTGTATCTGGAGGCGTCTGAAGATGCTGCCACTGTCGCCTGTTCTCGCACACGCAAATCCACGCATACAGCTGATGTCGTGTGGTATCAATTTCTTGCACCTCCTCCTCCTCCTCCTCCTCCTCCTCCTCCTCCTCCTCCTCCTCCCCCTCCTTCCCTACGCCTGCAGCTGATGACGTACGTTGACCACTACTGTCTGCCGCTCCTGTCATTGCCGCTTTTTCTCGCAAGTACGGTTCCGAGCGTGCCCATCATTCTTAATAACTTCGAGCGCAATCGTATGCTTGGCAGACGGCTTCCACACAATCCTGTGTCCAATGGTGGCCCCAGGCGGGGTCGCCAGCAAGAAACTGTTGCTCGCAGGTGTCGTATTGGCTGACGCGATTTGGGGTGAACTCGGGAGCGTCAGGGTTCAGCTTGCTCTGCGGTCTCTCTTGCATGAGTGCGAAAAGAAGTGGCAAAAGCTTTGGGTGAACTATCTGGAGGCGGTTGGCGAATTCGTGATTCATCGTTCGGACCTCTTTCAGCGCATTACGCATGCTCCCGAATTTCCTTTTCCACTCGATCCGTTGCTGCATCGCACTGTCGGCTGCCGTGATGGCTCAATGTTTGGCAGCAATGCAATCCGCTCTTGATCGTTTTGGGCAACTAGAAACGACCGTTTCCCTGTAATTCACCTTGGCTTTGGGCGCCCGCCATGCCGCGGCGCGGCCAGCGGGCCGAGGCCGTCCTCCCTCGCGTACGGGGGGATGCGAATTTCCCACAAACGGTTGTCCTTCTCCTCCTCCTCCTCCTCCTCCTCCTCCTCCCTGGGCCCAGCTTCTGACCGTCTGGTCCCTCAGGCTTTCCTCGTTTTGTCCTGAGGCCTGTTCGTTCGGGCGCACTCTTGGCTCGCTCGCTCCCTCCTCCTCCTCCTCCTCCTCCTCCTCCTCCTCCTCCTCGTCCGGCGCCAGCCCGACTGAGGGCCTGGGCCGTTGCACGCTTCCTATTCAGATCGATACATCGTGATATACACATATATACACATACATATATAGATGTATCCTTCGCAAGAATAAAGAACCATCGTAAGAGATAAACGGAATATGCTCAAGATATAACGGTACAATTTGAGGAACGACATCCGAAATGGAACCTCGGATACCTTTCAAAATAATCCAACATCATCCCGATTTTAATCCAGTAAGAAATCAAACCACTGCCTAATAGGAACCCAATACAGTCCGACCAGGAATTGCATCGAATCCGAACTGGCATCTGATAGGTTCTTCATAGGAAACAACAGCAGAAACTAGTGGACAACTCATGGCATCCGAATAGGAATCAATGTTAGTCCCCACAGGAATTCGACATTACCCTCAGAAAAAAGCTGGTGCACTCTCAATCCAATGATCGGAATAAGCGGAATAATCGGAGCCCGTTGCTCCGATCATTCACTGATCGAAATAATCAGGCCCGGCGACCCCCATCACTTGATGATACGGGCTCTGGTGCGAAGCTTTATAGGACCCGGGTAAAACTCGAATCGACACCCACTCGGATAATAAAACGACCCGAATGGGAATCCAACAGAATCCAGATTGGAATCGCATATACTCCGAATGGGAAACATGGACAATCCCATATCGAAGACCGGAGTGATTGGATCGACTTACTTTCGTCCCACAATGATCGGAGCTGCAATGACAGTCCACGACCGCTCGAAGTGATATATAGAAACCGAATCGACATCCAATATAATTCACATACACGACAGAGCGACCTCCTAGAGGGAACTTAACATAACCCGAATGCTATTCCAATGGAGAACATAATAGAGTTCGAATATGATATATCCAGACTGGGAGTCGAATCGAATCATAGAAACAATCGGACTCTACCCGACTGGAACTCTGACAGATCCCACATAGGAATCCAACACGCGCTTGCGAGGGGATCGACTAGAACCCTCATCGGAATCCAACACAATCCAAATAATACGTTTGTTTTCTCGCAGCTGCGATTCGCATTCCATTGCGTTCGAAGTTCAGTTGGGTTACGGATCGTCTGATCACATGCCGCCCCGGTTGGCAATATCCCAGACCCCACTGGTTTAAACCATCTGTGTTTGTTGCAACTGGTTCGCTGGAACGTCTCTGTGCTCTCGAAGCTGCGACAGCCACATCTGCGCGAAGCCACATCGCACCCGCTAGGAAAACATCGGACATCGATGATAACGCGCGCAGCACCGCGCCAACATTTAGTCCCCAGGGCGACAGCGCTCGGCTAGCATATTTGCTGCAGCCAGAGGCATACCAGCTACACCAAAATGAACTATCAGCTTGTCTTGTGCAAACTGCAAGCTCGCTACAG